ACGCTATGGACTTGAGTCCGCCATGCTCCTGTCTATCGGATTCTCCAGGCAAGAACAGAAGTGGATGATCATACCCTCCTTCAGGGGATCTTCCCAGCCCAGGTCTCCTTCATTGCAGACGGATTCTTTTCCAGTCTGACCCACCAGAAAGCCCTCAAGTACTTCTCAACACTGACAAGATAACTCGGGAACCAAACGTAGAAGCGCGCGGGTATCCTCTTGGCCCCGCTCAGTCCAGCTGGTCCCTGCTCGGTCCATTTCGGCCCAGTTCGGCCTCGCTTGGCTCCGCCCCTCGCAACCCCAGACACAGGCGTGTCCTACGCCCCGCCCCTCACGCCCTAGACGCACGCCTGTCCTACGCCCCGCCCCTCACACGCCCAGAGGCAGGCGAGTGTCGTACGCTCCGCCCCTCGCTGGGCTTTCGTCTCGTACCTAGGGCAGAGGAGTCTGTTGCGTCTCTACACGACGCAGGCGAGTTTACAGCCAATTCCGAAGCCGACTCTTGGTAGGTGCGGTCGCCCTGGGAATCGTGAGGTGGTTTTATGTTTTATTTTTCTTAACCTGCGCCTGCGGTATCGCCCTCTCCTCCATATCCGTGGTCTCGGGTCACCTTGGACCTTCCTGTTCCCCTACCCGTTCCTCCACCCCAAGTCAATTCAGATGTGGCCGTGAGAGGCCCAGGGTGTGATTTCCTTTAGGTGTAAAATCCTGAGGTAACGCATATAGTGTACAAAATACCTAGTAATTTATAGGGGAAAAGTCATTTTGTTTATGACATGGCACCTGATAATTTTGTAAATATCTGAAAACACGTGTTCAGGAACTAGTTTATTTATTTATTTTTATTTCTTGGAACAGAAATTTATTCTCAGAATAATGCACAAAAGCATAGGTTGAGGCTGCCGTTGGGAGGCCTCCCATCCTTCCTCTGCCGCCGCCTCCCCTCCTCTTTGAATGACAGGGAGAGCACAGTTGAAGGAAACATGCAATCACAGTGATCAACTCTAAAGACAAAAGGTTTGGTCCAAAAGAAATCAACATAATTAATCCAATTACCGTGAAGAGCTTCACTGAGTAGGATTAATTTGCAGATGTAGTGTTTTCACAGGGTGGCTCTTCAGTGCACCAAGGGGGCCTGCTTGAGGGAGATGAGGTCAGAACGCTTGCGGGAGACATCTTTGGCCTGCCTGTTGGACTTGGGGTTAGAGTCACACAGCCGGGCCACCCGTTCCCACTCAGTGCCTGGGGACGACTCCTCAATCTCATTTACAAAGGCTTCTTCTGCTGCCCTGTTGTTGACTTTTGTCTTCTGGAGCTGCTCGTCCTGCCTTGCATACCACTCATCCAGCTCTTTTATTGCTTTTTCTTTCCACTCAGCTTCCTGCTTCTGAGAATTGGCATCAAGGGCTTCCAAGCTTTGCTCGGTTTGCTCTTCTCTCCATTTACGGATACTTTCAGGCTCTGACTGCAGTCGATCCACTTGTGAAATAGCTGCGTAACTGTCTGTCCTCCCATTACTCTCCTGACAGCATTCTCCATTCATCAAGCCATCAACAGCATCTGGAACCCCCTGCGGCTCGCCGTAAGGCTGGTGTCCGGGGGCGCCGCCTTCCGGGATGGCGAAGGCCTAGTCGCTCTCGATGCCCGCAGTCTCGCTCTCCTGCTGCGCCAAGAAGGCCGCATCAGGGTCCTCTTCGCCGGCCACTCCGTTCCCCAGGGCGGGACCGCCAGCGGGGACGCCGAACGGATCTAACTCAGCCATGGCGTGGAGTTCCACGGCACCGGCTTTCAGAGAAACACCAACCAACCAGCAGACAGGGCGTCCGGCAGCGGCCGCTGTGCTTGCGCCTGCTATCAGACACAAGCTGGAGGAGGGAGAGCAGGAACTAGTTTAGAATTTCAGCTTTGGGACTGCTGGTGGAGCTGGAATTTTTTCTCACTGTTAGGGAGCCATATTACTGTCCCTTTCTGGTTTATATGACCAGGGTACTAAATCGACTACAACGGCCCTTCATTTTAGTAAATTATTTTCAGTGTTGCTACTTACTGGTATGAGCACTAGACTCAAAGAGAAATAGAAATCTTCTCTATGGTCAGTCTTGTCTGACTCTTTGGGATCCCATGGAGTGTAGCCGGCCAGGCTCCTCAGTCCATGGGATTTCCCAGGCAAGAATACTGGAGTGTTAACAGGAGTGCTGTACACAGTTGTATGGGATGTAGAGACAGGGTTATGAATAGGCTCAGGTCTTGGTTTGCAACATGTGGGCGGATTGAATAAAAGATCTGTAGAGTAGAAGCCTGTTGAGGAATGGTATTCCTGTTAATGGGAGACTTCATATGAGGGCTGTTGTGGGGAAATGCATTATTTCCAGCAGTTTATCTGCTCAGAGCAGAGGATACTGATTTTACTGTGGTTAGAGTGGCCAGAAGCTTTGGAATCTAAGGGGGTATAAAGGAGACCCCCCCCCCACATCCTTAAAGAACTGGGGTATCTTCCATTTAGCTCTGAGTGGGGGAGGACACTGGGCAGTGATATTGGGGCCTCTCTCTCTTTGTGACTTCTTCACTGAGCTCAATCCAACCAAATCTCAGGGGCCTAAACTTTGAGATGTCCCCAGTTGCTGGCAGGTTTTCCCAGGAGGATCAGCTTCTTGGTCTCTGTACTGAGTGCCCAGTGTCCTCGGAGTTGCAGCTTGTGTGTTTCTGTTGCAATGCCCATGCCCAGTGCTCTCTGCCGTGTAGCCCTATTGCTCAACTGCACATGAAAACTGGTGAAAATGGGAGAAATTGGAGGGGAGTGTTGGGTCTGCAGGAGAGTTGTGGGAAGCAGCAAGTGAGAGCTTCTGCTTGAGCCGCACACGTGGCGTATGGGTGTGTTCCAAGTTTAGTGGTGTGACCGAATTCAAGCTCACTCTGTCCCTCGTAAGACAGGCCAGTGCTTCAGAGTGACTGTCATGGTCCGTGCACAGCTTGAAAAAGGATTTCCAGACATGAGGCCGAAAGGGAAGAGAATAAAATTTATTAGACTGGATGACAGTGTTAGCACAGTGGGTCAGCTCAAGGGAGAGTGGAATGCTTTCCCAGGCTTGCAGCCAAGTTTTATAGCCCTAAGACAGAAAATTCCTACTGAAATGGTGGCATTAGGTGATTGCTTATGATGCTGTTGTTGTTCAGTCGCTCAGTCATGGCCCACACTTTGCAACCCCATGACTGCAACAAGCCAGGTTTCCCTGTCCTCCACCATCACCCCAGAACTTGCTCAAAATCTTGTGCATTGAGTCTGTTTTGCCATCTAACCATCTCATCCTCTGTCGTCCCCTCCTGCTTTCAGTCTTTACCAGCATCACGGCCTTTTCTAATGAGTCAGCTCTTCGCATCAAGTGGCTAAAGTATTGGAGTTTCAGCTTCAACATCAGTCCTTCTAATGAATATTCAGGACTGATTTCCTTTAGGATGGACCGGTTGGATCTTTTTGCAGTCCAAGGTACTCACAACAGTCTTCTCCAACATACAGTTCAAAAGCATCAATTCCTCAGCGCTCATCTTTCTGTATATCTCAACTCTCCTATCTGTATATGAATGCTGGAGAAACTATATCTTTGACTATACTGACCTTTGTCGGCAGTATAATGACTCTGCTTTTTAATACTCTGTCTAGGTTTGTCATAGCTTTTCTTCCAGTGAGCAAGCGTCTTTGAATTTCATGGCTGTGGTCACCATCTACAGTGATTTTGGAGCCAAGAAAATAAAGTCTGTCACTGTTTCCACTTTTCCCCTTTTATTTGCCATGAAGTCATGGGAACTGATGCAGTCAAATCAAAAAATGTTTTTAAAAAAGAACTCAGAAATGTGCGTTAGACGCTGAGTCTGTGGTTCTTTTGTTCTAACCAGTAGGTGGTTGAGCCTTTCTCTTGTGTGTCATGGGGGTCTGGGAGACTTCAGCTTTTCTATCAACAAGAGACAGAAGAGAAAGACATATATCATATGGTATCACTTATCTGTGGAATCTAAACAAAGGGTACAAATGAACTTCTCTACAAACAGGAATAGAGGTGCTGACATAGAAAACAAGGCATGGTTGTCAGGGCTTGAGAGGTGAAGGAATAAACTGGGAGATGTGGATTAACATAACTTTCACTTCATCTCACTACTATGCATAAAGTCAATAAGTAATGAGGACCTACTAGATAGCACAGGGAATCCTACTAGATACTCTATAATGAGCTATATGGGGGAAAATGGGGAAAAGACTTTAAATAGAATGGATATATGTATATGTATTCTGCTGTTCCCTCGCTCAGTGGTGTCCCCCTGTTTGCACCCTGATGGACTGTGGTATGCCAGGCTTCCCTGTCCTTCACTGTCTCCTGGACTTTGCTCAAATTTATGTCCATTGAGTCAGTGATGCTATCCAACCATCCTCTGTCACCCCCTTCTCCTCTTGCCCTAAATCTTTCCAGCATCATGGTCTTTTCCAATGAGTCCGATATTTGCATCAATTGGCCAAAGTATTGGAGCTTCAGTATCAATCCTTCCAGTGAATATTCAGGGTTGATTTCCTTTAGGATTCACTGGTTAATCTCCTTGTTGTCCAAGGGACTCTCAAGACTCTTCTCTATCACCAAATTCAAAAGCATCAATTCTGTGGTCAGCCTTGTTTATGGACCAGCTCTCACATCCCTACCTGTTACTGGAAAAACAACACTTTTGACATTAGGGACCTTTGTTGGCAAAGTGATGCCTTTGCTTTAAAATACACTGTCTACTTTTATGATACCTTTCCTCTCATGGAGCAGGCCGTCTTTTCATTTCCTGACTGCAGCCACCTTCAGCAGTGAGGCCCCGGCCGCCTCACCCTCCCACTGTCCCCACGCAGGCCTGACTTCTCTCCGGCCCGCGCCCCTGACCGCTGGGCTCCGCTCGGGCCCCGCCCCCAGGCCGTTCCGCTTTTTCACTGCGCGTGCGCACAGCGTCACACACCCGGAAGCGGAGAGCGGCGAGCGGAGGTGTCAGCGCAAAGTGAGTTTCTCTTTTTCTGGTCACGTCTTCCCCTCTGAGTTGTCTTTCCTCTGTAATGTGGGTTGAGGGTCGATACTAAATCTAAATCTCCGCGCCCATCCCACCACCACCAGCAAATTCAGATGTCCCATTGTGGCGAAGAGGCGCCTCCATTTTGCTTTAAATTCGCTGTGAAGCGGGTGCCTGCGTTTGATCCCTGAGATGCTTCGTTTTGCACGTCATTGCTGCTGAAAACCAACTTCTGAGTTCACTGATCCCTCTTCCCTTCCTGCACCGCGTGAAATTCTCTTGGGCGATGTGGGTTTATTCGCTCCGCGGTCCCCAGGCTCGCGCTTTCGACCCCTGGAGGCCGCGCCGGCCCCCGCTCCCTGAGAGGCCCGGTTCTCTCCCCGGTCCTGGGATTCTGGAGAGCCCGCCTCCCTCCTGAGACTCCCAGCCGCTCAGTCGTCGCTTCTCCTCAGGCCGGTAGTTCTGCCCTTCAGGCATTCGAATTTGGCTCTTGCCGGTGGGGGCTTCTTATTCAGTCGCCATTCCTGCAAATAGGAGGCCAGGAGGGTCAGGAGAAGCAGAGACAGCGACTCCGAGAGAAATAGCAAATTGAAAATAGCATGAGGGAAAAGCGATGGCAATGAAGAGGATTGGTGAGGAACTTGCGAAGAGGTAGCAACAGGAAAGAGCCTTGAAGGTAATGGTGGGTAAAGGAGAGACGTTTGGAGAAAAGCAGGGTCTCCGGAAAGTTAAAGGTGAACAACATATGGAGGTGGTGTTGTTGAGTCTGAGTCTTTGCGACCCTGTATCTCCTAGAGTCAGCTCAAATTCATGTCCAGGGATGCTATCTAACCATCTCGTCCTCTGACGCCCCCTTCTATAGCCTTCAAGAGAGACGGGCTGTGAATTACCGGTCCCAAAGAGGGCGATAGGGGAGAGACAGTTCACACAGAGAGCTGACAAAGAGGATACAAGAGTTGGAACCTTGACCTGCAGACAGTATCATGCTGGCAGAGAAAGGGTACTACTAGTGAACAGAAACAGTGACAGACTTTATTTTCCTGGGCTCCAAAATCACTGCAGATGGTGACTGCAACTATTAGATTAAAAGATGCTTGCTCCTTGGTAGAAAAACCATGACCAACCTAGACAGCGTATTAAAAAGTAGAGACATTACTTTGCCGACAAAAGTCTATAGACAAAGCTATGGTTTTTCCAGTAGTTACGTGTGCATGTGAGAGTTGGACCATAAAGAAAGCTGAGCGCCAAAGGGTTGATGGTTTTGAACTGTGGTGTTGGAAAAGACTCTCGGGAGTCCCTTAGACTGCAAGGAGACCAAGCGGCTCAATTCTGATGGAAATCTGTCCTGAATTTTCATTGGAAGGGCTGATGCTCAAGCTGAAGGTTCAATACTTTGGGTTCCTGATGAGAACTACGTCATTGGAAAAGACTGATGCTGGATAAGATTGAAGGTGGGAGGAGAAGGGGCCGGCATCACTGACTGGATAGACATGAGTTTGAGCAAACTCCGGGAGTTGGTGATGGACAGGGAAGACTGGCATGCCGCAGTCCATGGGATGCCAAAGAGTCTCACTTGACTGAGCAACTGAACTGAGTGATTGGAGGAGCTGAGAAAGAAAGTGAGCTGAAAGGAAGCATTGTACTTGGAGGTGCCAGAGAGTTGGGAGGAAGGGAGGGCAGACATGGAGGAAGAAAGGCAGAAATACATGGAGATTTTGGATTATCAGGGAGGTTGGAGAGAAAGCATCTTTATGGGGAACAGATGACAGAGAGAGGCCGGATAGGAGTCAGGGAAGAAGTAAGACAGGAGGACAGGCACAGCAGGAGAGCAGAGGGGAAGAGAAAGGGAGACAGAGAAAGAAATAGGGAAACAGATAAACCCAATGAAGTGGAAACAAGTAGTGTGCAGGTGGTGGTGGGGACTAGATCCAGAAGAGTGCTGAGTCAATTGGATAAAGAATTAAGATGTGATACATTGATTTTTAGCTTTACAATCTAATAAATTTAAATCTTGCTCCTTTAAATTATACAAAGGGTGAGAATTGCAGTACTTCTGTCTATAAGGCTTGTGGTGGTTGTAATTATTTGTATTGAAAGGTAGCATCCATGTGCAGAGTCTGTTGAATTTGGGGGTAAGGCAGTGACTTGACTCTCAGAGGTGGGTCACCCGCTTCCCTTTTCCTGGTGTGGAGTAGAGGTTGTGGGAGAGGAGAAATGGTTAAAGAATTGACAGACTGTTACTACATGGTACCTTTTCAAGGAACTTTAAACGTGTTCTTAGTGATGGTTTTCCTTTTTGCTTTCTCCTTTGTTTACATTTAATTCTTTTTTTAGCTTGGGATAAAGATTAGTTCATTTCAATATTTGCTTTCTTGTAAACAGCTATTGACATCTGAAAAGATTTGGTGGTCTCCTGAAATTAGTTCATGTTATTCTTTTGGAAATTTGCTATATTATCCATTGATTTTTATTTTTTTCCACTTTGCATCAGAGTTTTTCAATGAAAAAATTTTTAATAAGCTGATTAACTTAGGTTTGTTTCACATTTATTTGAAGCCCATTTTCTGTCTTCTCTTTGTGTTATATCTTGGAAACATTTTTTGGTAACTAGTAAATAGTTGTAAACTATTTTGATGAGTACTTAGTAAGGATGTCAGTGATCCTTTTTATTGAATCAAGACCTAATTTAAGCAGTTAATATGATGGTCCATTTTCCTCTCTTTTATGTGATCCAGTAACTAGTGAGCTATGAGTTGATCTGATGATGCTTCCTCAGGTCCAGAAGCTGAGCAAAAGTGACTCCTGAAATGATTGGCCAAATTGGGTGTGTGACTGTGTGTGGCAGTTTTTCTTGGAGGGAGTTCCCACTTGTTACTAGAATTTGAAATGAATCCCAGTTTTCCAGAATTCAAAGGACAACTGTAGGATGGAGGTGGGAACATAGGCTCAGAGTCAGAGAGACAGTCATGAGCCGTCTTCTATGAATAAGGGTCAATCTGCAGGGAGGCCTCCAAACCTCCACTGGTTTCCCCATGTCCTCAGGGCAGCATGCTGACTCCTCAGGTGGCTCCACAGCCCTTTGTCATCCTCAGGTCGCTGCCAGGGTCTCCAGCCTCATCCTGGGAGTCGACCCCGTTCTCTTAGTCAGTCTGTCCTGCTCACATTCACTTAGTCCTTGTTCATAAACAGCAAAACCTTCTCTGTCTCAGATCTTAGGTTTTTCTCCTACCTTTGGTCATTAAATCGTGACCATGGCTCTCGCTCTTTCTGTTCCTTAGCCTCTAGGCCAGCGAGGTCTCCACTTTTTCTTCTGATATTCGCTGTCAAGTTAGCCACGTTTACTGCCTCTGTATCACTCTCATCAGAGATGCCCTTCTCCTTTAATTATTTGGAGTGGTTTCTGTTTTCTCTTCATGGAGGGTGCACTGTATTCCTGTTCCTCCCAGGATGCTTTCAGCATCTCACTCTCAGGGTGAGGACTAGGACTGTGGGTTGGTCACATACTTCTTATTCTAGCTCCACCTTACTGCAGCAGGAGTCAAAATAAAGCCTTCCCTGAATTTCTCCTTTGATCTCTTAACTAATGCTGTTGATTAAAGAGCCCAGGTTCTAGGTCAGTAACATACACCCAAGCGAACACACACATATGTAATGACATATTGTGCACCCATAAAAATGGCGATTTTTGTCACTTGGGTCAATTGGATGAATGTAGAAAACATTGTGCTAAGTGAATCAAGACAGACAGGGAAAGACTGATACTATATGTGCTTCCATTATGTGGAATGTGAAAAAGTGAAAACCACTAGTACCAGACAGTGGGATGGTGGTTATCTGGGGCTCAGAGGTGGGGAAGATGGGGAGATGTTGGTCAAAAGGTAGAGATTTGAGATGTAAAATGAGTACATACTGGGGAGGTATGTGCAGCATGCTGACTGTAGTTAATCCTGTGTTATGGAAATTTGACAGGAGAATAAAGTGTCGATGTTGTCACCACACACAAACCATGGGAATTTGAAGGTGATGGATGTGCTGGTTTGTGGTTAGTGATAAACATTTCACAGTGTACACATGTGTCACATGGACACAACGTGCATGGAATGTATACACAACACCTTCTTGATAGGCCGTTCTATGTCAGTAATGCTGGAAAAGAAGAAAGTGGGAGGTAGGTTGGACTTGACTCCTTGAGTGGTGTTCAACACAGGCTTCACATGAGATCATGAGGCATTTTGCCAGGGCATGTTTTCTACCCCTCCCCCATCAGACACACTCCTCATCATCTCGTGTGTTGCGTCGCCCCAGGAATGTGCACAGGCCGCAGATGATTCCGATCTGGATCCTGCATTGAGCACCAGGGCTCTTACCCTCCACTTTTGAGACTGCAGTCAGACCCTGGGGGAGGGGAGGGTGCTCTGCTCTGAGTGGGGCTGGACCAGGGCCTGCTGTGTGACCTGAGGGGCATTGTGGGGTGAGTGGAGGTGCCCCCTGCTGCTGTGTGCATGAGGCCTCACAAGGCGGGGAGTGTGATCCGAGGGAAATTGTGGGAAAATCCCGTGTTGGACTCTGTGTGGGAGTTGACTGTCCTGAGTCTCTCCTGAGACAGTGGGCACAAGGGACTGTCTGTTCTCATGGTGAGGGCTTCCCTGTGTGCAGGGTTGGGGCTCAGGAAGGGGGTATGTTGACTCTAAGCACTGAACACCATGTTTTCCATCTTTTTGATATGCCTTGAAGATTCACGTTACCTGAGGGTGAAGCCCAGAAGAGGAGGAAGATTAAAGAAAACAAGTCAGGCATGGCTCTTTCTCAGGTAAGGTCATATTCTCAGTGGATTCTCAGTCTGCCCTTCCTGAAATGCCCTTCTCTGGACTTGCTAATCGTGTCTGACTCTGGAGTATCCTCTCTGACTCCTATACATACGTGCTTACCCGGAACCTTCCCTCAGCGTCTGTCGTCTCCACTTAGATCCCATGTCCCCATGACCCGGTGACCTGGCTCTTGTGAGGAGGCTCCCCTGGACACCGTCCTGGGCAGGGCTTCTCACCCACGGGTTGCAAATGGGGTCTCAGTGCTGTTGGGCAGCAGGGATTGCTTAGGGCCCATCTGGATGCTCTGTCTGCTCTCTGTCAACTGGGGTAAAGAAGCTGCACGTAGATGTGAGGTATTTATTAACATGCACAGTACGTGCTGGAATCTGGAAAAGAAGCCAATGAGAGGGAATCAGTCCTGACTTCTTATAGTACATTTAAAGCTAAATTAGGACCTTCTTGAAAATTTTAAGTGTTTCGGAGTGAAATGGAAAGTTCAGAAACAGACCTCAGGGATAGAGAGTGTTTCATTACAGCGTCTAATTTAAACTATGAAATATAGTTTGCTGATGATTTATTTTTCCTTTTTGGCTGCACGATGCAGCTTGCAGAGTCTTAGTTCCTTGAGGAGGCATTGAACCTGAAACCCTGTGGTGGAAGTGCGAGATCTTAAACCCTGGACTGACAGGGAATTCCCCCAACTTTGCTAATCTTGATGGCAATATTTGCTCATGGAATAAAAAGATAAACTTTGGATTTTGTTAATAACTACATACATATCATTAATGATAATATCATATTATTATATTTAAATATACTTTTCTGCTGTACTGGCTCCTCATTGCTTCAGTGGCTTTTACTTAGTTCTGGCGAGTGGTGGCCACTCTCTAGTTGTGGTGTGCGGGCTTCTCATTGTGGTGGCTTCTCTCATCTTGCAGCACAGGCTCTAGAGTGCGCTGGCTTCAGTAGTTTCACCTACTGGACTCTAGAGCTCTGTCTTAGAAATTGAGGCTCAGGGGCTTAGTTGCCCCTTGGCGTGTGGGCTCTTACTGGTCCAGATAGCAAACCTGGGTCTCTTGCACTGGCCAGTGGATTCTTTACCACTGAGCCACCAGGGAAGCCCTTATATTATTTGTAAATACAGGTATTTTTATACTGATTAGAATAAATCTTCTGTATATTATTTTCTGCTTGTTTTTCATTTTTTTAAACTAGTATAAGATAATGTTGAGTATTTCCCTGGTGGTACAGTGGATAACAATGTGCCTGCCAATGTACAGTGCACGGGTCCCATCCCAGGTCTAGGAAGATGCCTCAGAGCAACTAAGCCCATGCACCACAACTACTGAGTGTGAGCTCTGGAGCCTGGGAGCCATAACTACTGAAACCCACATACTCTAGACCCTGTCCTACAAAACAAGAGAAGCCACTGCAATAAGAAGCCTGTGCGCTGTAGCTGCAAATACAGAAAGCCTCCTCACAGCAACAAAGGCCCAGGAAAACCAAAATAATTAACTTTTAAAAAATTAGAATGTGGACAAATTACTGAAGTACAATTGATTCATTTTTAATGTCCCAAAGATTATGAAATACATATGAATAAAAGCAAATGGGAGTATCATCCCAGAATGTGTCAAAAGGCATCTCCTTGAAGTAGGAAATGGCTACTCACTCTAATATTCTTGCCTGAAAATCCCGTGAATGAACAGAGGAGCATGGTGGGAAACCATGAGGTTGCAAAAATCTGACATGACTGAGTGACTAAGCAACAACAACCTCCACACACAGCAGAGTGAGCTCTGAAAAACAAATCTAAACCTCTGATTGACCTCCTGCAGATTCTTCAGTGACTTCCAGTTACTTTTGGAATAAAGTCCTAAATCCAAAGACCTTGTAGAAAGCAGCCTCTACCTGGCATCACCCCTCTTTGTTCCCTGTGTCCCAGTCAGACTGGCTGGTTTTCTGTTCACTAAATATCTTCCTGCCTCAGAGCCAGCACTCAGGCTGTTCTCTCTGCTCGCAACACTCTTCCATTTCCCACCTTGCCAATCCAAGTGTTTCTTCCTCACGGAGACCTTGTCTGATTATTGATGTAGGTCAAGACTTTCTGTTAAAACTTCTCTTAGCACCAGGCCTGTTTCAGAGCACATATTGCAATAGTAATGTTAAAATTATGGATGTAATTGGGTGGCTGGCTGCTAGACCATAAGCTCCATTATGTTCACTACTGTATTCCCAGCTTGGGACCCAGACTTGACGCTCAGTAAATTTTGATTGAAAGATAAAAATAAACACAGTTCTTCCTTGTTTCAACCAGTTGTGTGTTTCCATGTGCATGGGTGAGTGCATGGATCTGTAATTCCATGCTTTTATTACAGAACATCATCTCATAAACATGTGTTATGCTTTGTAGCAGTTGAAATTGTATCTTAAGTGTTTTGCATTCCCTTAAGTTTTTTTCTACCTCATCACGTGAATGATGGAAATAGTAGTTAGAGTACTGACAATGTGTGGTTGGTGGGAAGAGCGGGTAACCCTATTAGGTGACCATTTATCCTATAGTCATATCTGACTCTTTGCAACCCAGTGGGCCATAGCCCTTCAGGCTCCTCTGTTCCTGGAATTCTCCAGGCAAGAATATGGGAGTGGGTTGCCCTGCCCTCCTCCAGGGGGATCTTCCCCCCAGAGATATCAACACCATGTCCCCTGCATTGCAGGTAGATTCTTTACTGCTGAGCCTCAGGGCAACCCAGATACCTACTTATGATACTGCATATTATAGTGTTCCCTGTGCATTCAGGAGGAGGTAGATAGTAAATTAATTTGTGAATATTTTTCTGTCCATCTGTCATGTCCATCTTTCCTTGGCTGACAAAAGATCTGGGATTCTACAGCTCCATTGCACTTCAGCTTTCTTGAACTTATTTCAGGTATTCTCACGGAACTCTCTGTGGATGCACTTTTCTGCTCTGGTACTTAACTCACTGATTCCTTAGGTTCAGTTGTCAGTCCCAACAACCTTACCTCAGGTGCTGTTGCCTCATTTCTTAACTGTTTGATCTGCACGAATTCTTAGAATGAGTTTTCTCCCCAGTCAGATGGACACAGAGCTTCTCTAACATACTGTCATGTTGATGATAGGTTCATCTGTTTAAAGTCTTTAGAGTAATGCTTAGTGTGTCTGAAGTGCTGAAACACCTGTGTGATGTCATAATCATCACAGTGTGTGTTCTTTTAAAGCCACTGTGGACTTTGTCATCTCTGAAGACAGCAGTCTCTTGCTGTAACTCATCTAGATAGTGAATGTTCCTCAGTGTGTACAGTGTAACACTTCTGCATAGACTACTCACTGTATGAGTTTTATTTGTATATTCTTCATGTGTTGTCCGCACAAGTGACAAATTCATATTGATTGGAAGATGTCATAGTCTTATGAAACAACTTGGAAATTAGAGACCCACAGTTTGTTCCAAATAGCTTTTAATGGATCTATCAGAATATTACATTACCTGAATTGATCCTTACCCCTCTCACCTCTTCTCATTTCGTGTGAAAATAAGAATCCTCCTCACCACCTGTTAATGAAATGTGCTTTCATTTCAGACACAGTTGACCATCGAGGATGTGGACATTAAGTTCACTCCAGAGGAGTGGGAATGCCTCGACCCTGCTCAGAGGGCCTTGTACTGGGATGTGATGGAGGAGACCTACAGGAACCTGCTGTCTGTGGGTGAGGATCACTTCCCTGTGAAGTTGGAATCTGGTTTGGGGTATCTCTGCATTTTCCCTCTGTGTCTCTTGGGTGCCCCTGTAGTGCTTGACTAAGTTCATAGCCTTGTTGATTCAGACTTGAAAAAACTTTGTGATTGGCATCAGGAGTTTAAGCTCGTCCTTTCTTCAGGTGATCTGCGCACTGTGTGATACACAAGTTTTTCCACAGCTTGAGTATTTATAAAGCTGATTTTGAACTTTGAAATATCCAATTCCCTGTTTTTTACACCTGTGTTCTTGGTTCACTAGTTCTTGGGAAGCAACTATGCATGCATACCTGTGTGCTCAGTTGCTACAATCGTGCCTAACTCTTCGCGACCCAGTAGCCCTCCTGGCTCCTTTGTCCATGGAATTCTCCCAGCAAGAGTACTGGAGTAGGTTCCCATGCCCTCGTGTAGGGGGATTTTCCCCCGAAGGGGTCAAACCCATGTCTCCTGGGTGGCAGGTGGATACTTTACCTTTGAGCCCTGGGGAAGCCCAGATATCTGCATATTATACTGTATATTATACTGTTTCCTGTGCATTCAGAAGGACACAGATAGTAAATTAATTTGTGAATATTTTTCTGTCTGTCCAAAATGTCCATCACTTCTTGGATGACAAAAGAGATGGGATTCTTCACCTGGCAATGCAGGAGGCACAGGGTCTAGGTCCTCTCTAAAGCAGGCCTCTGAGTTTGCTTCTAACCTGCCTGGACACTGCCCTGACTGTGAGTGCCATGACTGCTTGATGTGAGTGCAAGGCTTGCAACACCAGAGATAAGATAAGGGACACATCTTGAGGTTGTCGAGCCCTTGGAGGTGCTCTGGCCTACTCAGCCCCAGGCTTAGCAACATTATAGGTTTTTTAGGACAAATAGCATTAACAGAAAAACAGATGTGCTATTTGCTCACAGATTGCTGATGATAACAGATAGCATCCTGGGATTTAAAGGGGAACCCCAAACTGCCTTCTTTGAAGTCTCACCCAAGACCCTAACACACTGCCTGGGACCTTTTCCCCACTCAGTCTCCAGATGGGCTGTGTCCTGGGACTTCGCAGCGCTGTTTGAGTTTTCAGAACCCAATTTGGTGATGTATCTTCTGCTGTTTCTACTTCTCTTTGCTTTTATTGTTAGCATATTGAAAGTGAGCTCGATAATTCTATAATAAGTATTTGTATTATTTATTTACAGAACAAGTCGCTAATTTTGTTAAGAAATCTTTGAACCTGAGACAAAAGTGACAACTTTTACAAAACTTTAATTGGCCCTGTGAGCAGTATTTGTGAGACAAAATGCCACTCTGTAAGAAGAAAGAGGTTAAGGTTGATGAAGTTTTTATTCCCTTATGTGAAGACTCGCCTTTCTACTAGTTAGCTGATACATGGGACGTCTTCACTGGATGGTGTGAGAATTGGAACCTTAAATTAAAGAGGGCTGTACCTTTAGAAGTTACTGGATGTTTGTGACTCTCACCCGTTGAGAAAGGATAAGAATCTGTCCTGCTGGATCCTGTCTGAATCCTTCTCTCTCCTGCCATGAGGTACATAAAATGAAAGGGAAACTCGCTCAGTCCTGTTGAATTCTTTGCAACCCCATGGAATATAGAGTCCATGGAATTCTGCAGGCCAGAATACTGGAGTGGTTTATCTTTTCCTTCAGGGGATCTTCCCAACCCAGGGATTGAACCTAGGTGTCCCCTTCATTGCAGGAGGATTCTTTACCAGCTGAGCCACCAGGGAAGTAACATGAGGTACATAAAGGTAAATTAAAATTGTCTGAAAAGAAGTTGCACCTGGAAACAGAATTGTGCAATTAGTGAGGATGATTGTCTATATATACAATGTCAAATTATATTTCAGCTGATTAGCTCCTCACTTTTCAAGTGGGCTCTCTGTTGAGCTGGCCCACAGCTCTAACAGTGTCTGCCACTGCCCTTTGTGTCTCCGTTATCTTTGTCCTGTTGTGGCCTTTAACCCTTCTCAACTCCTCTGTCTCCCTCTCCATCAGCTAGTCCCCTGATGGAGCTAACTTCCCCTGTCTCTCGGTGGTGGGTGGGGGGCAGCTTCCTCCACTGCTGTCCCCACTCTGGCAGATTTATTTATCCTTTCAGATTCTTCTGATCAAGTGAAGACCCCCATCTACCCAGAGTGACAATCCAAGATTTTCATCATCCATGTGCCCCTGTTATCACAGTCAATTTGAGAACTATTTGATCTGTATTTTAGATATAAAACTGTGACTATAGAAAAGGAGGATAATGTTTTTGACACAGGGATTGCTGTGATATTCTTTAGAGTCTGGAGAATACTGGTTTAAATGATTTTTTTTTTTTTTTAGAGTACAAACCATTTCTTTTTGCATATGGAATAAAAACAGCTAGCTTCTTAAAAAGCCCTGCCTACAGAAAAGCTTGAAGTTAACCTTTACCAGTGAGCCCAGATGACTCTAGTGGTAAAGAAGCTGCCTGCCAGTGTGAGAGATGTAGGAGTTGTGGATTCAATCCCTGGCTAGGGAAGATCCCCTGGAGGAGGCAATTGCAATCAACTCCAGTAGCATCAGAGAGACATTTTAAATCTGTCTGGATTTATGCATGTCTCAGTGTGTGTCTTTGATTTTGGATAATATTGCTGAGGTTTATTTGTAAATGAGCTCTTACTCAATTGGCTTTAAAAGAAAGTAAGCACTTAGCTTACCATTGGTGGCTTAGTGGTAAAGCATCCACCTGCCAGTGCAGAAGATGGGTTCGATCCCTGGTCTGGAAAGATCGCACATGCTGCAGAGCAACTAAGCCTGTGCAGCACCACCAATGAACCACCCATGCTCTAGCACTTGTGGTCCACAAGAGAAGTAACTACAATGAGAAGCTCGTGTACCACAACTCAAGAGTAGTCCCCGCTCAACACAAGGAGAGAAAGATGGATCAGCGACAATGATCTGTTGAAGCCAAAAATAACAAATAAAATTTTTTTAAAAACAGTAAGTGCATACAAATCAGGTCACATGAATTGAGAAATATTCAGTATTAAATATCTAGTATTACTGTTTGCTCATCTAATTAAGACATGTCTTCAGTCATCTACATTGTGTAATACTTCTATTGTATTACACTGAGAGATTTAGGACTATTGATGAGTATCCTGAGATGCTGTCTATAAGAAAGCAAATGTTTTTAGAAGCTATCACTGGTATTTTTGTTCACCAATCTAGAAAATGCTAATAGAAAGCACAGTTCATGGTTGCTTAAGGAAAGTAAGGTGGGTGTTTTCAGTAAAAAAAGGTATGAGAAATGAAATTGAGTTTAGATGCTCATAGCAGTGAGTGGAAGTGAGCGGAAGCTGGAAGCAATGTCTTTGTTTCCCAGACCAAGAGTCCTGACCATTGGACCACAGCAGCCAACAGATAGGGTTAAGGTCCCTAATCTTGACTGCCTAGTCAAGAATGAATTCAGATGAAGAGGCACAAAATAAAGAGTAAAGGAAAAAGTTTATTGAAAGGAAACATAATGCGGAAAGGCGCATGGGCTAGCTCAGAGAGAGAGAGCCCCACCTTTGGGAAGTGTCAGTTCTTCAAAAAGGTACAGTTTTCCAGGTCTTCTTGTCCCTTTGGGCCAGTCACCTTCCTTTGTACCCTCTGGTTAATTTGTCTCAGCACTCTCCCCTGGGGTGCGGACGCATACCCTAGCCAAGATGAATCTCGAAGTGAAGGCTTCTGGGAGTTCCAAGACTCATTATGGCCTGGAATCATCCTCTGACTTGACCTCAACTAACCTTTCTGCACATGTGTAGTGTCTCCCTTAATAGACAGGGTTTTTTGCTTTCTTTGTCCTTGCCATGATTATTCCTTTGAGGTAAGAGACAAAGACTGGCTATTTACCCTGTTTTTGTTATAGATTCCTATAGATTCCTCAGCTGGAGGCTAGCTATCTCTTATCTCAGCAAATGCAGAGACGAGGAGACTGATTGTAGATATTCAACCTGTAGCCCACGTGAAAATTGTCTGAATCCTACATGAAAATTATATTTTATTAGGGAGAAAGATTAGGTTTGATTTACAAGTGGCTGTTTATAAATGAAAAAAGTGATTTAAGGGGGAAAAAAAGGAATGAGAGGTTTATGGAAATTGGATTCCAAGGAAAAAAGTCCCAAAGGGTAGTTTTTATATGATCTTTAGCAGTGTGTTGTTTGACTCCTGTTAATGTTGTTGCTTCACTTTGGGGAGCATGTAATGAGGTGTTTCAAAGGGATCTGTTTCCTCTTTGTCCCCCTTCTGTGCTGGAGTCCATGGGATGTCCACTTTTTGGTCCATGTAGAGCAACAGTAACACCTCCAGAGCCATAATCCTTGGAGCCAGCCTGGTTCTCTTCCTATTTGCTGCACTTGGGAGACCTCACTGGAAGAAGGGGAAAGATTGTCAGCTCTTCGATTGCATTTGGTGTCTCAGATCCTACACAGAGCTGCCCTTAACCTGTCTTCCTGTTCAGAGCCCTCAGCTATTCCTGTTGTTACTACTTTTACCACAACCTTCAGGGGTGTGTATAATAGGAATGTGGTTTGGATCTTCTATGACTGTAACTCAGGAAACCTGTAAGGACAGTGGACATTGAGGTCCTCTCTTGGATCCCCAGTCTTGTACGTGATGCATATATGAATCAGGCTGCATGTTCCCTCCTTGCTCATACTGTACAAAATGACCCATGCTCATCCACTGAAGCACATTTTCAGGACACGACCTGAATTGATATGTGGGGGGTGGTACCTCGGAAACCATTCATAGGTGAGATGGCTGAGTAAGGCTGTTAGTTACGCAGATCAGTTCATGTGTCTCACTTGACCTTATCTTTTTAAACTCCTAGAGTTTGTTGTAACCTTTTGTAATCTGCTCTGCCCAAGTGGGCCCTGGTGGTTAACATGTATGAATCTGTAGGTCTGGGTTTCAGTCCTGCTTGCTCATTCCTTTCATGTACCATGGGGTTGTGTACATGAACCCTGTGAATCCACTACCTTTATTTTAAAAATTGAGTTAATTCATGCTCTTAGGTGTCATAGAATTTTGACTGTTTTACTGGAAAAGTCAGAAGTTACTTTTTTTTTTTTCTGAACAATGTGGCAGATGCGATCGTAGTTCACCATTCAGGGATGGAATCTGTAACCCTACAGTATAAGCACGTAATGCTATCCACTGGACCATCAAGAAATTTGTCTCAAAGGTTACTTTTGCATAAAATGTATATTTACTTCATGTCATGGTTATTGTGACATGTCCCTTTGTCTGCATTACACATTGTATATCGTTAGTTTATATTTCCTTCCCAAGAGTTTGTCTCTGACTCTAGTTAATAAGTTTTCGAATAATATTCCTTTTTTATAGCGGATTCTTTGCCTCTAAGCCATGAGGAAGTCCCCAAAGCTTGCTCTTTTACATGTATTTTGGAGCTCATGAACCGAGTAAGTTAAGGATTCTGTATAGATAGGCAATTGCTATATTGAATGACTGTTACTTAAGTAGAGAACTTTCATTTATTAATTCTTTGTGATTTAAAGATGATGGTCTTTATGTTTTACACAGTATAACTGACATGAACCACTTCTTGTTGTAAAATGTCTGTATGTCTGTTTGCTTATAGATTTATAGGAGGTATTTAGAAAAGTGTTCTGTCTTTTTTTAAAAAATTATTTTAGGGAATTCCCTGACAGTCCAGTGGACAGCATTCAGCACTTTCACTGCAGTGATCCTGGGTTTATTCCATGGTCAAGGAAGTAAGATCTCATAAGCCCTGTGATGGGGAGTGAGGGGGTGGGTGGTGGAGCTGTTTTAACAGATTCTTTAGTTTCACTATGCAGTGCTTGTTGAACTGTTGTCAACTGCCATTTATGTTTTACAATATTTGTTAGAATGCTTCCTTTGGATTATTTACCACTACAGGGTATTGCCTTTTTGATCCTTGCTGCTTAGTCCCTCTGAGTCCTGTCTGAGTCTTTGTGATCTCATGGAGTGTAACCTGCAATCTCCCCGTCCATGGATTGTTAGTGTTTTGTCTCCTCAATTATGAGACAGAAGTGTGTTTACTGCCAAGTAGAATGAGCTTTGAGGTCATGGTGGGAAAATACCTTTTCTTTTGTGACTTGACATGAGTTTGCATAAAATGAATATTTTCCTGATTGCATCTTTGAAACTTGGCTATGCTAAAATTAATTTGAATTATGTGTGATTACTTTTTTTGTTAACGAGTTCTATTTCTTTGTAAATGTTCCTTATATTTCTAAGTTCATCATTGGGAAGATTCTTAATTCTGTTCAGAATGGGTTGAGTTTTGGTATAATATGTGTTCAATATGAAAGAATTTATTTATGAATTGTAATTAATAGGATACCTATGGTTTATATCTTGTAGATGTGTCTCATATACATATGACCAAGAAATTACAAGCAAAAGGAAACAGTGGAAAAGGAGAAATTCTGCAAAGAGTGATGTTTAGAAGAACTGAAACCCATGAAACCAAAGATTTTTTCCTCGGGAAGATAGAGGAAACTGTGCATGGTTTTGAGAGTCTGTGGACAGATGATGAAAGAAGTGACAACGAAATATCTATATCCCATAACAAAAATCTCACTGATGGAAAAGATGATCAGAGTAGAAATGATGCAGGAGATAAGCCTGTTGAAAGACTCGGATCAAGCTTTCATGAAGAATTGCAGATGCTTCAGTCTGAAGGGACGATTTTTGAGTGTAATCAAGTTGTGACAAATATTAACAGTAGCCCCTCAGGTTTGCCACCTCAGAGAACTCATAGTGTCCGCAAAGGCATTTGTCATAAACATGAGAGTGCTGTTATGCATCCCTCAGAACAGGCCCCAGACCAGGAAGGACACAAGAAAAAATCTTACAAAAGTAGTGAGTGTAGCATAACCTTTCTTCAGCACTCAGAACTCACTAGACATCAAAGAATCCTTACAGGAAGAAAACCATATAAAGCTGACATACATGGCAAGGCCTTTAATGATAATGAGAGCCTTGCAGTTCATCAGAGAAATCATACTGGAGAGAAACCATATAAATGTGATGTATGTAGCCACAGCTTTAAACAGAACACAGCCCTTCAAATTCATCTGAGAGTACATACTGGAGAGAGACCATATAAATGTGATGTATGTGGCCACTCCTTTAAGCACAAGACACACCTTCAAAATCATGGGAGAACTCATACTGGAGAGAAGCCATATACATGTGATGTGTGTGGAAAGGCCTTTACTCGAAAAGAAAGCTGTGCACTTCATCAGATCCTTCATACTGGAGAGAAACCATATAATTGTGATGTATGTGGCCATGGCTATACTCGAAAGTCACAACTTAGAATTCATCGGAGAGTTCATACTGGAGAGAAGCCATATACATGTGATGTGTGTGGAAAGGCCTTTTCTCGCAAGGAAGGATGTGCACTTCATCAGATCCTTCATACTGGAGAGAAACCATTTAAGTGTGATGTCTGTGGCCGCGGCTATATTCGAAAGTCACAACTTGAAATTCATCAGAGGGTTCACACTGGAGAGAAGCCATATAAATGTGATGTCTGTGGAAAGGCTTTTACTCGCAAAGAAAGCCATGCACTTCATCAGATCCTTCATACTGGAGAAAAACCATATAAATGTGATCTGTGTGGACAGGCCTTTACTCGCAAAGAAAGCCATGCACTTCATAAGATCCTTCATACTGGAGAGAAACCATATAAATGTGATGTATGTGGCCGTGGCTATACTCGAAGCACACAACTTGCAATTCATTGGAGACTTCATACTGGAGAGAAACCATATCAATGTGATGTGTGTGGCCATGGCTATCCTCGAAAGTCACAACTTGTAATTCATCAGAGAATACATACTGGAGAGAATCCTTATAAATGTGATGTATGTGGCTGTGGCTTTACTGGAAAGAGACAACTTAGAATTCATCGGAGAATTCATACTGAAGTGAAATCTTACAAATGTAACAATTGTGGCAAACGTTTTTTTGCACTGTTTTCCTTAAATAAACATCAAACAATTCAAACAGGTGAGAAAGCATGTAAATGTAATTTGTGTGGCAAAATGTTCAGTTCTAGGTGTTATTTAGCAGTTCATCAGAGAACTCATACTGGAGAAAAACCATATAAATGTGATGTGTGCGGAAAGGCCTTTACTCGCAAACAAAGCCGTTCACTTCATCAGATTCTTCATACTGGAGAGAAACCATATAAATGTGATGTGTGTGGCCATGGATATACTCGAAAGTCACGACTTGTAATTCATCACAGAGTTCATACTGGAGAGAACCCTTATAAATGTGATGTATGTGGCTGTGACTTGACTGGGAAGAGACAACTTAGAACTCATCGGAGAATTCATACTGAAGTGAAATCTTACAAATGTAACAGCTGTGGCAAAAGATTTTTTGCACTGTCATCCTTAAATAAACATCAGGCAGTTCCAACAGATGAGAAAGCATGTAAATGTAATTTGTGTGGCAAAATGTTCAGTTCTAGGTGTTACTTAGCAGTTCATCAGAGAACTCATACTGGAGAGAAACCATATAAATGTGATTTATGTGGCCATGGCTATCCTCGAAAGTCACAACTTGTAATTCATCAGAGAATACATACTGGAGAGAATCCTTATAAATGTGATGTTTGTGGCTGTGGTTTTACTGGAAAGAGACAACTTAGAACTCATCGGAGAATTCATACTGAAGTGAAATCTTACAAGTGTAACAACTGTGGCAAACGTTTTTTTGCACTGTCGTCCTTAAGTAAACATCAGGCAGTTCAAATAGATGAGAAAGCATGTAAATGTAATTTGTGTGGCAAAATGTTCAGTTCCAGGTGTTGCTTAGCAGTTCATCAGAGAATTCATATTGGAGAGAAACCATATAAATGTATTGTGTGTGGCTGTGGCTATACTCGAAAGTCACAACTTGGAATTCATCAGAAAGTTCATACCGGAGAGAAGCCATATAAATGTGATGTATGTGGCTGTGAATTTACTGGAAAGAAACAACTTAGAACTCATCGGAGAATTCATACTGAGGTGAAATCTTACAAGTGTAACAGCTGTGGCAAACTTTTTTTTGCACTGTCATCATTAAATAAACATCAGGCAGTTCAATCAGATGAGACAGCATATAAATGTAATTTGTGTGGCAAAATGTTCAGTTCCAGGTGTTGTTTAGCAGTTCATCAAAGAAGTCATACTGGAGAGAAACCATATAAATGTGATGTGTGTGGAAAGGCCTTTACTCGAAAAGAAAGCCATGCACTTCATCAGATCCTTCATACTGGAGAGAAACCATATAAATGTGATGTATGTGGCAAGGCCTTTAGAGTAAATGGCAGCCTTACATCTCATCGGAAAATTCATTGCCGAGAGAAACCATATAAATGTGATGTATGTGGCAAGGCCTTTAGTGTAAGCGGAAGCCTTAGAACTCATCAGAAAATTCATACTGGAGAGAAACCATATAAATGCGATGTATGTGGCAAGGCCTTTAGAGTAAACGGGACCCTTACATCGCATCAGAAAATTCATACTGGAGAGAAACCGTATAAATGTGATGTATGTGGTAAGGCCTTTACTATAAACGGAAGCCTTACAACTCATCGGAAAATTCATACTGGAGAGAAACCATATAAATGTGATGTATGTGGCAAGGCCTTTAGTTTAAATGGAAGCCTCACATATCATCAGAAAATTCATTCCAACGAGAAACCATACAAATGTGATGTATGTGGCAAGGCCTTTAGAGTAAAAGGAAGCCTTACATCTCATCAGAAAATTCATACTGGATAGAAGGCATATAAATGTGATGCATGTGGCAAGGTCTTTAGTTTCAAATCAACCCTTGCATTTCATCAAAGAATTTATACTGCAGAGAAACGTTACAAATTAACAATGGTGACAGAGCTTTTAGTGGACAGTCATCCTTATCTCTCCATCAGGCAGTTCATACAGGAGAGAAAGCATAGAAATGTATCTTATGTGGCAGAGTCTTCAATTCCAGCTGTTACTTTGCAGTTCATTGGAGAACTCATATTTGAGAGAAACCATATAAATGTTATGTATGTGGCAAGGCCTTTAGTCAAACTGCAAACCTTGCAATTCATCGGAGTATTCATACTGGAGAGAAAGCATATGAATGGGTTGTCTGGCAAGGCCTTTAGTCATATTGGTAAGCTTGCAGTTTATCCAGAATTCATACTGGAGAGAAACTGTATAAATGTGTTGTGTGTGGCTGATGCTTTACTTGATGTGCACAACTTGGAATTCATCAGAGAATTCATACTGGAGAGAAAACATATAAATGTGATCTCAGTGTCAAGGCTTGTAATCTAAATGCAAACCTTACAGTTCATCAGAGAATTCATGTTGGAGAGAAACCTTACAATTGAAACAATGGTGACAAAGGTTTTAGTGCACAGCCAGTCTTAACTCACCATCAGGCAGTTCATACAGGAAAGAACGCATAGAAATGTGATGTATGTGGCCAATGGTTTACTTGAAATGACCATCATAAGAAGCATCAGATAATTCATAGTGGAGAAAACTGTTAAAAATGGGACAATTGTGAGAAGCATTTTAGTGCAACTGTAATGAATATGGCAAAGCCCCTAATCTGAGTTCAGGCCTTATAATTCATCAGAATTCATACTGTATAGAAAGCATCAAAATGAATATGGCAAAGTTTGTAATTCACTTTCAGCTGTAACTGACCATTTGGCAGTTCATACAGGAGAGAAACCACATAAATGGGAGTTTTACGATGAAGCCTGCAGTCACACAGAATGACTTTGCAGATCATCTGAGAGTCAGTGCAGTGAAAACTTCTAAATGTAGTGAATGAAGAAAGTATATGAAGTTTTGGGCCTTCAGAAAAGTCTGACTGGAGGAAAATTGCATGAATGTGGTAGATATGGTAAAGCTTTGAATCTATATTCAGACCTAACTGATCCTCAGGTAATTAATGTGAATTGAAATCTTACCCACATAGTGCATGTGGTAAGTCTTTTGGAAGGTGTTCATTTTTTTACAAAACATGAGAAAATACCTACTGGCAAGAATCCATACATTCAGAGCACAGTCAGTCCCTCCAGTGAAGGAAATCATAATGTCTGTGGCTAGGATTTCAATAACAGGCAGATCATTCCCTTCATCAGGAAAATTCATTATTCCTTCAGGTGCCATTCAGGCCTAAAGACATCAGGTGACACAAACTTGAGAGACCTTCCAAATGTTATCAATGTGGCCAGGGTTTTTGTTTACACCTTAAGCTTCTTGAGAATATTCACACTAGATAAAAACTGTATCATTGTAATAATAAATGTGTCAGGGTTTTTAGGCAACAATCTGAAGTCAGGCTTCAGTAAACAAGTCATTTTGGAGAGAAAGCTTACAAGTGACATGAGTATGTAAACCTTAACTCAGGATCACAACTCACCATCCATCAGATCATCCATACTAGAGAGAACCTTACCAGTGTAGAATATGTGGCAAGGCTTTTAGGTACTCCCTGTTAACTCAGTGTTCACCAAATACTTTATACTTAGAAATGCAAATATTATGGCAGTTGTGACAATTACTGCTCACTCTTTAGGTATCTAAGAACATATATGCTGGAGATAAACCACACTAATACAATGTTTGTGGAAAGCTATTGTGAAGAAACTTGAGTCAAAAGAACCAGAAAGTATGCGTGTGTATCTGTTTCATCATTGATTGCTGCCATTTCTGTTGTACCGTTGTTTTCTGCAGAATGTACCATAAGTCTTGTGCTCTAATAAAATTTGTATAATTTTTCCTATAACCCTGAATGGATGATGTTTCTTCCAACAACAGAGTTTTTGCCACCTCAGTACTTCATAACAGAAACTAGCAACACACCAAAGGCTCTCAAGGTTGAAAGAATGTAGAATTTCTTTTCATGATGAAATCAAGCAATAGATAATTTTGGGATTATATGCTAATAATTTGCACTTGAGTTATTCTTTCCACACTCTGTACATAATGGTGCAGTTATATTTCCTGAGTCCTCTTGTGCCGAAATGAAACTAATAGCATGTGCCTAATTTACATGAAGTGAAAATAGGAATAATAACTGTGCAAAAATTAGGAAATAAAAAACTTTGGAAATAAGGTTAAAAGTGATAGCTCTTTTTGAGCTGGGAGCATTCTGAAATAAATTATTTTTTATTATTCACTTGTTATTGGTCATATAGTTGTGGCTCACGGGATATCTACAAAGCATGTAGGAATTTCCCAGACCAGGGATCTGTCCCATGTCTCCTCCTTGGCAGGCAGATTCCTTACCACTGAGCACCAGGGAAGACCCGGAAATAGTTTACAATCCACACTATATGATGGGAATTTATATTGTTTGATAAACTATAGAAATTTCCTATATTCAGTTCCCAACATATTGGTTCTTGTTACTTTGCAGTCACTGAAAGAAGGTGGAACCACACCCAAAGTTTGGTTTGAATATTGAGACAGATGAATCCATATGTTGAAGTCTTAGGAAAATGTTAACTGCTGAAGCTTTCTAGTTGAATCAAGGTACACTTCCAAGCTGTTCCGTTTAGTCGCTCAGACGTGTCCGACTCTGCGACCCCATGGACTGCAGCATGCCAGGCTTCCCTGTCCATCACCAACTCTTGGAGCTTGTCAAACTCATGGCCATCAAGTCGGTGGTGCCATCCAACCATCTCATCCTCTGACATCCCCTCCTCCTCCTGCCTTCAATTGTTCCCAGCATCAGAGTCTCTTCAAATGAGTCCGTTCTTCTCATCAGGTGGCCACAGTATTGGACTTTCAGAATCAGCATCAATCCTTCCAATGAATATTTAGGTCTGGTTTTCTTTAGGATGGACTCGTTGGATCTCCTTGCATTCCAAGGGACTCTCTCGAGTTTTCTTCAACACCACAGTTCAAAGCATCATTCTTGGGCGCTCAGTGTTCTTTATAGTCCAAATCTCACATCCATAGATGACTACTGGAAAAACCATAGCTTTGACTAGGCAGATCTTTGTTGGCAAAGTAACATCTCTGCTTTTTAATAATGCTGTTTAAGTTGGTCATAACTTTTCTTCCAGGAAGCAAGCGTCTGTTAATTTCATGGCTGCAGTCACCATCTGCAGTGATTTTGGAGACGAGGAATATAAAGTTTGTCACTGTTTGCAATGTTTCCCCACCTGTTTGCGCTGAAGTGATGGGACCAGATGCCATGATCTTAGTTTTCTGAACGTTGAGTTTAGGCCAACTTTTTCACTCCTCTTTCACTTTTCATCAAAAGCCTCTTTAGTTCTTCGCTTTCTGACATAAGGCTGCTATCATCTGCATATCTGAGATTATTGATATTTCTCCTGGCATTTGGAGGAGGCAGTGGCAACGCGCTTCAGTACTCTTGCCTGGAAAATACCATGGACGGAGGAGCCTGTTAGGCTGCAGTCTATGGGGTCTCGAAGAGTTGGACACGACTGAGTGACTTCACTTTCACTTTTCACTTTCATGCATTGGAGAAGGAATGGCTACCCATTACAGTGTTCTTGCCTGGAGAATCCCAGGGACGGGGGGGGGGGCCTGGTGGGCTGCCGTCTGTGGGGTCACACAGTCGTACACGACTGAAGTGACTCACCTGCAGCAGCAGCTCCCGGCAATCTTGATTCCAGCTTGTGCTTCATCCACCCCAGGATTTCTCATGATGTAGTCTTCATATAAGTTAAGTAAGCAGGGTGACAATATACAGTCTTCACATACTCCTTTCCCCATTTGAAACCAGTCTGGTGTTCCATGTCCAGTTCTAACTGTTGCTTCCTGGCCTGCATACAGATTTCTCAAGAGGCAGGTCAGGTGGTCTGGTATTCCCATCTCTTTCAGAATTTTCCACAGTTTATTGTGATCCACACAATCAAAGGCTTTGGCATAGTCAATAAAGCATAAGTAAATATTTTTCTGGAACTCTCTTGCTTTTACAATGATCCAACAGTTCAGTTCAATCGCTCAGTTGTGTCCGACTCCTTGTGACCCCACGAACCGCAGAACTCAGGGCCTCCCTTTACATCACCGACTCCCGGAGTTTACCCAAACTCATGTCTATGAGTCGGTAATGCCATCCAACCATCTCATCCTTTGTAATCCCCTTCTCCTGCCCTCAATCTTTCCCAGCATCAGGGTCTTTTCAAATGAGTCAGCTCTTCGCATCGGGTGGCCAGAGTATTGGGAGTTTCAGCTTCAACATCAGTCCTTCCAATGAACACCCAGGACTGAACTCGCAGTCCAAGGGACTGTCAAGATTCTCTATCACCACAATCTAAAAGCAATTCTTTGGTCAACTTTGTTTATGGACCGACTCTCACATCTCTACCTGCTACTGGAAAAACAATAGCTTTGACATTAGGGACCTTCGTTTGCAAAGTGATGCCTTTGCTTTAAAATACACTGTCTACTTTTATGATAACCTTTCCTCTCAAGGAGCAGGCCGTCTTTTCATTTCCTGACTGCAGCCACCTTCAGCAGTGAGGCCCCGGCCACTTCACCCTCCCATTGTCCCTATGCAGGCCTGACTTCTCTCAGTCACTCGCCCCTGACCGCTGGGCTCCGCTCGGCCCCGCCTCCAAGAAGCTCCGTCTTTTCACTGCGCGTGCACACAGCGTCACACACCCGGAAGCAGAGAGCGGCGAGCGGAGGTCTCAACGCAAAGTGAATTTCTTTCTTGTCAAATTTTCTTCTGATAGTTAGCTTTCCTCTGTAATGTGAGTTGAGGGTCGCTATTGAATCTAGATTCCCGCGGCCGTTCCACCACCCCCAGCAAATTCAGATGTTCCTGTGTGGCGAAGAGGCGCCTCCATTTTGCTTTAAAGTCGCTCTGAAGCGGATGCTTGCGTTTGGTCCCTGAGACGCCTCGTTTCGCAACTCTTTGCTGCTGAAAACCAATTTCTGAGTTCACTGACCCCTCTGCCCTTCCTGCACCACGTGAAATTCTCTTGGGCGATGTGGGTTTATTCGCTCCGCGGTCCCCAGGCTCGCGCTCTCGACCCCTGGAGGCCGCGCCGGCCCCCGCTCCCGGAGAGGCCCGGTTCTCTCCCCGGTCCTGGGATTCTGGAGAGCCCGTCCCGCTCCTGAGACCCCCCAGGCTCCCAGCCGCTCAGTTGTCGCTTCTTCTCAGGCCGGTAGTTCTGCCCTTCAGGCATTCCTTTCTTAGAGCGTTACCCCGACTCCGTGTGGGGGGAGGTGGCCTGGCCCAGCCACGTGACACTCATGGTTCTGTATCCCAAATACAACCCGCTGGAATTTGGCTCTTGCGGGTGGGTGCTTCTTATTCAGTCGCCATCCCTGCAAATAGGAGGCCAGGAGGGTCAGGAGAAGCAGAGAGAGAGACTCCGAGAGAATTAGAAATTGAAGAAAGCATGATGGAGAAACAATGGCAATGAAGAGGATTGGTGAGGAACTTGGGAAGAGATAGCAACATGAAAGAGCATAGGCCTTGAAGGTAACCGTGGTTAAGGAGAGAAGTTTAGAGAAAATCAAGGTCTCCAGTATGTGTGCAACATAGGGAGGTGGTGTTGAGGCCAGGGATGCTATCTAACTATCTAATCCTCTGCCGCCCTTTTCTGTAGCCTTCAAGGAGGAGGGGCTGTAAATCTGCGGTCCCAAAGAGGGGAACAGGGGAGAGGCAGTTCACACGGAGACCCCGGAAAGGGGATACAAGTGTTGGAACCTTGATCTACAGACAATATCCTGCTGGCAGAGAAAGGGGACTACTAGTGAATGGAACCAGCGATGCACTTTATTTTCCTGGGCTCCAAAATCACTGCAGATGGTGACTGCAGCCATGAAATTAAAAGACACTTATTCCTTGAAAGAGAAGCTATGACCAACCTAGACAGCATATCAAAACGTAGAGACATTAATTTGCTGACAAAGGTTTATATAGTCAAAGCCATGGTTTTTCCAGTAAGGTATGTATGGATGTGAGAGTTGGATCATAAGGAAAGCTGATCGAGGAGGAATTGATGCTTTTGAACTCTGGTGTTGGAGAAGACTCTTGAGAGTCCCTTGGACTGCAAGGAGATAGAAACCACTCAATCCTAATGGAAATCAATCCTGAATATTCGTTTGAAGAATTGATGCTGAGCTGAAGCTCGAATATTTTAGCCAGTTGATACAAAGGGCTGACTCTTTAGAAAAGACCCTGATGCTGGGAGAGACTGAAGGCGGGAGGAGAACGGGACGACAGAGGATGCGATGGTTGGATGGCATCATTGAGTGGGTGCATATGAGTTTGAGCAAACTCTGGGAGTTGGTGATGGATAGGGAAGCCTGGCATGCTACACTCCATGGGGTCACAAAGAGTCCGACACGACTGAGCAATTGAACTGAACTGAATAATTCGAGGAGCTGAGAAAGAAATTGAGCTGAAAGGAAGCATTGCATTTGGAGGTACCAGAGAGTTGGGAGGAAGGGAGGGCAGAGATGGAGGAAGAAAGGCAAAATTACATGGAGATTTTAGATTATCAGGGAGATTGGAGAGTAAGCATCTTTATGGGGAACAGATGGCAGAGAGAGGCAGAATGGGAGTCAGGGAAGAACTAGACAGGAGACAGGCACAGCAGGAGAGCAGAGAGGAAGAGGAAGGGAGATGGAGAAAGAAATAGGGAAACAGATAAACCCAATGAAGTGGAAACTAGTGTGCAGGTGGGGGAGGGGACTAGATCCAGAAGAGTGCTGAATCGATTGGATAAGAATTATTAAGTCATGATACATTGATTTTTAGCTTTACAGTCAAATAAATTTAAATCTTCTTCCTTTAAATTGT